GGTTTAGGGTATGTGAATACCCTATATCGGTTTTGGTATAGATATAGAGATGAGGATACCCTTACAGGTTAAGAGGATTGGATGTTGATAGAATAACCTATAGGAGAGTTTCTATAAAGGTTCTAAGTTTTTCTACCCTTCCCCATAAGTTAGATTCCTAAGGGTATCATGGATAACACTAGAGGTAAAGGCACAAGGGCCTCCCTTAAGCGGAGCCTCATTCTAGACCGAAACTTTCGTCTCTAAGGTCGTACAAAGTCTCACCATGAGATTTTGGTTTAGGGTTATACAAAGAGTCATAGGTTTCGTTCCAAAGTCCTACCCCCCAAGAGGAAACCTCTTAAGACATGTTTCATTTTTTAAATTCCACTGACTCTAGGCGAAGACGAACCTTCTTTCTAAGGTTTTGAAAATATATTTTTGAAATAAAATCGCGCCAAAAGATGAATAAAAATGACAAATAATATAATAATAAACAAAAGTAAATAAATAATTAAATAAATTAATTATATAAAAATAAGAACAACCCTAAAAAAACCTGAACCAAAAGAAAAGACTTCTAAACCCTAGGGTTGAGTCCCCAACAGAGTCTCCAGCTGTAATAACCAGCTAAAAAATATAGAGTCGCCACCATTAATTTTTATCTTAAGAACAGGAATATAACATATCACTCTAATTGATGATACAGAGATTCTAAGTTCTTGACTCACTTTAGACGAATGGAAGGTGTTAGGAACCCTTCATCTACCTTGTTTACAAGGATACTAGGGTTTAGGTTTAAGATTTAGGAATAGGGTTTTAATTTTAATTAGGGGAACTTGCCACGATTTTAAATCGTATGACTACATATCCTCTTATGAGGAATCAGAATCCCAATTCGTAGTTCATAGTTGTTTGCTTAGTTTTTTTTATGGATTGTGGAAATATCTCGAATTCTCCTTGAACCAAGTCTGGGTGTGTGAATAGCGGAATTGTAGACGAAGTTCGCAGTAAATAAAAGAAATTTCCATAATCATTTTTTCAAAATAAATATGCTTGAATTATGTTAGTAAAAATAGGGGTTAGTATTTGATTGGTTAGATGTTGTCGAATATATGATGCAATTTTGAATGAAAAATATTTAATATAAATATATAAAAGGGAGTTAGTATTTAAGAAATGATTTTTGATTAATAAGTAACTACTAAAATATATTAAGTATTTTTAATAGAAAATATTATAATTATTTATTAATTATGCAAAAATATACATTAATATGATAAATAAAAAAATAATAATAAAAAAATAAACAAATGAATAAATAAATGAAATTTATAAAAATAAATTAATTTTATTTTTAAAAACGCAGGGGGGTGCGAATTCAGTTTGGGAAGTAAAATCTCGTGGTGTAAATAACAAGGTCCTAAATCTAGATATTGGATTTATACTCAATTGTATGGGGGTGAGTTTTATAACATGATAGTAAAACTGGAGAGTGTAAATATTAAAGTCCCAAGTCCAAATGTTGGACTTGGCCCATTAACGCAGGAGGGGTACAGTTGGATGTTTGACAAGAAAAGGATGGGGTATGAATTGCAATGGGCTTGGCCCAAATTTTAACAAAGGGGGAATCGTTTGAATCCAGTGTATCTGAGCGTGTGGCATTATCGTGAGGACGCGTGATCTGGTAATTTGATTAAGATCGTACGACGTGTGTTGAGGGCGCATGATAAGAGTGCCACATGGGATCACGAGGCATTATATTTTTTCGTTTCTCTTCATTTTCGTTTCATTTTTCATCATTCTTCCTCTCTCTTGTTGCCATTTCTTCTTTGTTCTCTCTTCCTACTCACAGAACAACCAACAACAACACCAACTTAATCAAAACCGGCGGCGACCTTAAATGGCAGCAACTCTCAATCCTCCTTAACCCCAAATCAAACAACAACCACCCTCAAACCCTCGAATTCAATCGTACATCAAAACTAAAAAACACTTAAAAGCCGAGTTTAAGTATTACCTTCGATCGTGATTTTCGTTTGCTCTGATGCCTGATCTCTCCCCTAATCTTGTTTTTTTCGGTTTGTTTTGCAGGTATAAAGGTGATGGTGAAGGCGACAGTGGCTAAGATCTAGGATTTCAGACTTTGAAACTCAGATCTCGGACAAAGGCGACTCTGTTTGAAGATTTCAAGCCACACAAACTTCTTTATACTCCTTTTTCTCCTTTTGTTAAAAAATTTCGTTCTTTCAAAATTTTCGATCCCTTTTATTGTAGAAATTAAGGTTTATTTATAGTGTTCTTAGGTTATTTAAATTAGGAAATTTTTGTGTGATTTCAGTTAGAATTAGATTTAGTTAGCAATTAGGTTTGATTTGGGATTTGATTCGGATTTTGATTGTAATTAAATGTGGGATTTGATTATGATGCAATTAAATGTGGATTTGATTTAATTGTTATAAGTTGATTCTGGATTATGTATAATTGATTATCATGAGATTTGATTGAGTATAACATTTAGTTTTGATTCAATAAAATTTATGTTTCTGGACTTGAGTTTGCATTAGCGTAAAGATGAAGAAGAAACATTCCTTGGGCGCCGCAGTTAGAATTTGAGCATTAGGATTTCTTGGCTCTCTTTGACTTCGGTCAAAATTATTCAAAAAAGCAACAACAAAAATATTAATAATAAACTTAATAATAAATTAATATTGACTAAATACATATCAATAATAATAGTTTTAGATAATAATTATTAATAATAATATAATTGAATAAATAATAATGTTAATAATAATAATAATGCTTACTATTACTAAAAAACATAATAATAATGGAGTCAATATAATAACAATAATAATAATGTAATGATCACTAACTAAAATAATAATAATAACTACAACGGATTGATCAAAAAGTCAGAAATTGACTTCTGATCAAATGCAGCTACTGGGCCTTTTAACAACAAATTGATATGGGTCTCTAGAATTTATTAGAGTCTGTAAAACCCTCACACCCCTTCTTATTATAAAATAAAACATACACCTCCTTTAGCAATGTACCTATATATATATTTTGTTTGAAAGGACTAAAAAAGTTTTACATGGGTATTTCTGATATTAGAAAGCCCGATTAAATCTCATACCCTTATAATAAAAACATTTTTAATTTTACACATGGAACCACAAAGTTTAATGGGCCATCAGATTTTAATGGTCTATAGTACACTCTCTTATGATTTTAAACCCCCATTAGAATAAGACCCAAAAATAAGCAAATTGAAACAATAGAAATTACAATTTAGAAACATAGTAATAATATTGAAATCTAAGTAAAATGATCATTTGAAATCGACGGAGCAAATTTGGGGTATGACAGGTGCTTAGCCTCCCAAACCTTCATTGTATGTCCATTATAGGGGGTCATTCCATATGACCCTAACACTTTTAGAGCCGCTGTGAAATGGTCATCTCTAATCTTGCGAAGGCATTGCTTGACATTAGAGCTCATCTTTTTATCTTTTTCCTCAATATGAACTCTCGCGCGACCTAAGTTACCTTGCTTAGAGCTGCCCAACACACTACCAACTAACTTGGAAAGACCATTTATGTCTTCCCTAGTAGGTAATCACTCCAAAATAGGGTGTTGTTGCAAGGACTTTTAATTTCTAGACTTGCAATCATGTCTAATCTGAGGCTTAATCACTTGTAAAGTACAACGAGGGAGAAGTAACATCCGGACCCAGGAACCTACTGATCCCGGATCAACAACCACATTATAAAGAACATATTTCAATGCCTGAGAGAAAACAAGACGACAACTAAGACACATACTTTTCACGGTGAAGATATGTGTTGTAAGGACTCTCTCTAACAACCTTGCATCTAAAATAAGCTCCTCGTTTGCTTCGAGGTTATCCAAGTTAATTGCGGATGGTTTACCAATACCCACAATGTGACTTCCGACCTCACCTGTCCCATGAGTGACACGAACCACGCCATCATATGATGACGTGTCTGACTCATGGCCTGAATGCTAATACACCTTCCACATAACCGTTGCTCAACCACCTTCAAAGACTCTTCCAATGCTGTAAATATATCTCAATCTTTCTCAATCGCATTCCGTATGATACTTTTCCGTTCGTCACTACATAGGTGTATCATCTTAAAATGAGACATCAAATGTGAAATATCCTTAATCTGATTCTTACCATCAAGACAACAATGGGAACCTCAAAATGGACAATATCAACCTCCTATTTGAATAGAAACCATTAGACAATCAAAATTGTGTTTCTCCCCTACTCAATACAAAAGATGTCAAGTTGAAGAATTTTATCAAACACATGATGGGCAACTGCGAAAGAGTATTTTGTCATGGATGTGTTGTTGTCTTACTCTACCTAATTGAACCATGAAGTCCAACACATCTACATGTTGCGTTAAAAACCAATGGAATGTTTGTTTCAAACAAATTGGAAAAGAGGTTTGGTGTAAAAGGGAGATGGCGTGGGATATACTAACCAATAAAAAAATGATACATGTTGAGCAAAGAGCTTTTAGATTCTGGCCCATATTCTGGCTAGCCCCATAAATTGTTTAGACATGTAGTTTAATCCTTGCTCACATGTAGCTAAAACAAAGTCAGAATTGTGAGGTTAGTGGTGAGGATACGTTGCATGAATATACAGTTCAGAAGAATTTTGTCGGATCCAATCTCCTCTCCCACATTAATCAAACTATGAAATATGTATATGACAGCATTATGAGTGTTGATTCTATTATTATGTGAGAAACAGTTTTGCCATTAATTTCTTTGTATAATATGACAGAATCTTGAACAAAAACACAATTGGATTCTTTTGGGACATCAAAAATTAAATCACAACTTTGTAACTAGAACAAAAACATTTGGCTTAATTACCAAGCCACTAATATCATTGAGATACACATTCCCAAAAAAAAAAGAATTTTATAAATGAGGATATGGCCTATTATATCAATGGGGTTAGAATGTTTCTACAGTTCATGAGCGTTTTCACTAAATTGGCTCAGCATGATGGCTAAGTCCATGCCTCTTGTCATCGTAGGCACAACGGTGCTGATCGGACACCGTTTCGAAAATCCAACTTTCCCAGATTTCTGAACTTTGGTTAAGCACTTTTTAAACTCGTTATGGCATTTCACATTAGTCATTCCTGTAAAACAATGTTAAGTCGGTTTACAGCAATAAGTCTCAAGGTAATAGAAAATGTAAAGGAGAATCAGAAAAATAATCATTTTAATATGGCATGTCCCTGCGCAACAATTATCCATCCTATGTATAGGGTTTGTAACATGGAAGAAAATTTTAAACAACACAACAAAAACTTAAATTACATAGCAGCATATTTTATCCAGGAACAAAAAGCATATGGCATAATATTTCTCCTTGTATAGGCGAGTGAAAAGTTAAAGAGTAGAGTCATAAGAATGTAGAGGGTTTGATTCTCACCTCAAATAATATGCTAACATTACTAAACTATGATGGTTAAAAACAAAAACTACAAAAACAAAAATTGTATTCTCTACAATGATGCATTCACACAATCACATATTTTGATCGCACATGAGATCATTAAATCTTATTCCATATTATATTTTAAAGACGATTTGATGAAGTTTAAGTACAAGCCATTCAATTTTTATCTAGCAGTTGAGATCTCTCTTGAATATGCAATTTTGTGATTCTCATAAACAATGCCAATCAAAGCTAGAATTTCAGTACTCAAAAACTTGATTTTTTTATAAGCTAAGGATTTCAGCTAGCCCTCTTAAATAAATGAAATTCAGATCAGAGATGACAGATAGAGGAAAATGGTAAACAACAAAATTGTAATGATAATAGATCTCAGAACATCCTATAACAAACAGCAAAATTCTGATAAGCAACCAACAAGCTTTCAAGTTTCTAGCATCTAATGATACACATAAATGTAAGCTTCTCATTAGAATAATTTACAGAATTGGCTACAAGTAAAGCACAACACCTACATATACTCTGTTGAGTTTGACCTATATACCGCTTCGAACACCAAAATACTAATTCATTGAAGTAATAATACACATAACAGCGGCTCTATAGTGATAGGCGTAGACAAACTTGACCGAACTAAGTAAACAAATATTGTGTTTGTTTATGCTTCTATTTACTCTTATGTTATTAGTAGTTGTTCTAACATATTCCAAAAAAATTAAACTCTCAAAGAATTCATTCAACAATTAAAAACCAATTGAAAATGCAATCACACCTACATATAGATATAAATAATACAATTCATGATTAAGCAGCTACACAATTAGTGCAATTGAAAAGAATAGAATGGAAATGTACCGAATTCGCCAACACAATCGTCATGAACCATGCAACACGCATCAACATCATCACACGGTTTCTGGCCGATACAACCCGAATGACCTACCCCGCAATACTTCCCGTATTTGATTCCCATCGCTATAGTAATCCATCAACGTAACAACATTAACAATTGAAATAATCATGTAATTAAGATTGAAACAAATACTAATAAGAATTGAATGAATCTTACTGTCACATTGCTCTGCAATGCATTTCGTGCTACAATTTCCCTGAAATCGATTCACAACAATATAATTCGGTCAACGATCCAATTGCTCCAAATCCAATTATAATTAATGAATTCTAATTTGTGATTATGAATTATGAGAGAGAACATACATCGGCGGCGGAGAAGTGGAATACGGCGGAGAGGAGGAGAGAGACCAAGGCAAATGCGGCGGTGGCGCGTGAGATATTGACGCGTGTAGTCATTTTTATTTATTTTGGGCGTTAAGCAAAAGAGTCGTGATTTTGTCTTCTCTTTCTTTTATCATTGGTGTGTTTTGGTGGTTTGAAAGAGATTGTTTGCTGAATTTACCAAATTACCCTTCTCATTGTTTTGGTAGTTTGAAAGAGATGGTATGCTGGATTTACCAAATTATCCTTCTGACTGTTGCAACGTGATTGGCTTAGAAGAAAATTGTTGGGTCATTTCTAATATTAAGCGGTTCAGATCCTCTCTCAATTTTAATTATGCTAAACAAATAATAAATCAACTAATAATTTGATAATTTTATTTTATTTTTAAAAATTTTTGAAACTAAAGTCGAAATAATTATATAAAAATATTTTTGTCATATCTATTTAAATTTATGAGTAATTTTAACTGTTTATATTTTTCAATCATACTTTCGAACTAATATCATGTTTATCATTCTTGAATCGTTGAGAGTCTAGAGTTGGAGGAGGACATTCAGAGATTATGGCATACAAAAGTTGGAAAAAAAATTTATAATATGTTGTACAGAAGTTCTCACACGTTGATGTTCTATGACATCATTCTATGAGACGTTGATTCTACTATTCTATGAAAAATAATTTTTCTAATAATATGCTCATATAATATGATATAACCTTTCACAACAACATTACTGTATTCTTTTGTGAAATTACAATTAAATCACAACATAGCAAACGAGAGAAAAAAGCATTTGCTTAATTACTATGCTCAATAAAATAATTGAGACCAACATTCCCAAATCAAGTTTATAAGCAGGAACATGACCTGCATCATTGGGTTATAATTTAAAATATTTTTATATAGTAGGAACGGCTCCGCCCAATTGGCTGAGCAAGATGGCCATGTCCATGCCTCTTATCATGGTTGGCACGGCAGACGTGATCGGACACTCTTTCGAAAATCCAATTTTCCCATATTTGTGTACCCTAGTTAAGCAGTTCTTTAATCTTACATGACATTTCACATGAGTCATTCCTGTAAAATAATAACAAAAAAAAAAAGAGTCTTAAACTAATACCATTTCAAATAAATAATCATTTCTATATGATATTATATCAGAGTAGTCTTAAATTTTCAGAAATTGTATAGAGATTAGTTATGATTAATTGTGAAAAAGTAAATAAAAGTACATTTTGCCAAGATTTATAACAAATTTGAATTAAGAAAAAAAAATCGAGAATAGAATGTACCGAATCTGCCAACACAATCGTCATGAGACATGCAACAAGCATCAGCATCATCACACGGTATCTGGCCGGCACAACCCCAATAACCTATCCCGCAATACTTTCCATATTTGATTTCCATCGCTATATTTTTCATCAACATAACAACATTAACAATTGAATTTATCATGTAATTAAGACTGAAACAAATACTAATAAGAGTTGAATGAATCTTACTGTCACATTGCTCTATAATGCATGTTGTGCTACAATTTTCCTATGATCAAATCACAATAATGCATTGCGGTCAACATTTTCCATCAATTGCTCAAAATTAATAAACCAAAAAATAATTACTATTAATGAATTGTATTTTGGATTATGAAGAATGAGAAAACATACTTCTGCGACAGAGGACCGGAATACGGTACAAAGGAGGAGGGAAATGAGGGCAAATATGGTGGTGGCGCGTGAAGTCATTTTTTGATTTGTGGGAAAGAGTCATGAGTTGGTCTCCTTCTCTTAGTATTTCTAACTAGTTGGTGTTTTGGGTTGGAAAGGAAAGGCATGCTAAATTTACCAAACCACCCTACTTGTTGCAACGTGATTGATTAAAAAGTGATTATCATTGGATGGAGCAAATGCAGTTTAGTTTGTATTTAGAAAAAATTTAAGTTAAAATTGGAGATAACTCAAAATAACAAGTTTAAAAATAAATCTTTCAAGTTATCTTGGAGAAGGTTAATAGAATAGTAAGTACTAGCCAATTATGTTGCAACAAAGAATATGCGTTAGATGTTTGTAGATAAATACATAGAGTAATCTATAAAAAGAGTATAGTTTAGGAAAATTAACACAAAGAATATATATTTGTCCTTCCATTTAGAGTTGTTAAAATGGGTCCCGCGCATAAGTCTAATAATTTAGTGCGGGCTGGATCGTAAAATACTTTAAAAAACACGATCATATCTTTTTGATTCAGTCCATCGGGCCTATGTTTTTTATAGGTTAGGTCGGGTCAAGCGGACTTCGGATGACCCATTAGAAAAAAAAATGGTAAATTTTGGGGAAAAAGGATTGAAATAATATATAATTGCATAAGTGTGTTTTCAAGTGATAAAGAAAAATTAAAGAAGATGAAAATATATTTTCAAAATGATGTGATCAAGGAAATGATTGTGAGATGAAGAGAAAATTGTATAAGTTTTGGTGATAATATTAAGTTATTCAGTACTTTTACATGGATGTTGATTGATGAATATTTTAAACATCACTTAATTAAATTTATGATGACTCCCTACTTATGTTACGTAGCTTTTATCTACTACATCCCTTTTTATAAAATTAAAACTATAATATTGAAATACGGGTCGAACTGGCTCATCGGACTGCACAGTGTCGTAACCGGCAAAAAATACGAGAATTACCACCACTATTTTTTGTCCTGAGGACGGAAAAGAACGGATAACCCTACTTTGGTTTAAAGATTCTATATTTGTGAGTTGGTTAGACGAAGGGAAGATGTTAGACACATTTCATATCACTTGTTCTCAAAGGGCTCAGTTTCTAGGTTTTAGGGTAGATCGAGAATTTTCTATCTAAATGTTACTATTGATCGTGACTTTAAAAGTCTATCGGGTGTATTAACTGCAAGTGTACAGTTTAATCACGTAGTTTCAAAAGATATCGAACCCACAAGGACTGATAATCGAGTTACTACAATCTAAAGTTATTGTTGTTAAATTGTAATTCGATTGTGTCGAAACAGTGTGTGTTGAAGGAAGGTTGCCCAGTCGAAGAGCTTGTGGATCGAAGCAAGCTACACACAGATTTGATTGGTTTTAGATTTTAGATAAATTTGATTTAGATCTAAAATAAATAGATTTGATTTAGTACCAAAAATAAGTATTTTGGGTTTTTATAGTTTTGGGTTTTGGCTTAGGGAGAAAGCTAACCTAAATCTCTAAATAAAGGAGTAAGCCCTAATTTTGTAATTAAGTCAATTCATTGTAATCACGGAATTTACAGTTACATGTGATTAATAAAGTTTTCACAGTTTGTGGATAGAGAGAAACTCTGCAGAAAATAATTGTCTTTTTTCTTTTTTTCTCTTCTCATAATTCATTGTCATTGTGTGGTGATATCAATCTTGTTCATCAAGATTGGTAGAAATTCATCATAGATATTTGGTGGATTTCTAACATCTGCTATCAGAGCTCGGTTAACCGATTCAAGGGAAGTATCGATCAAGAACGGTTGAGGAAGAAGAAGAATTCATGATGGCGAGTTATGGGAATGCAAATTATTGAGCAACTATACCAATTCTGAAAGTAGACAACTATGAGAATTGGTGCAAATAGATGAAAGTTTTATTCAGGTGTCAAGGTCTTTGGGATCTTGTAAAGGATGGATTGGAAGTGCTTGAAGAAAACGCCTCAAAAGAAGAAAAGAAGAAACACACAGAATCTGAGAAGCTGAGTTATAAAGCACTCTTTATAATTCATCAATGTTTGAGTCTAGAAAATTTTGAAAAAGGTAGTGATTCAGAATCTGCAAAAGAAGCTTGGTAGGTTTTTGAGAAGTCTTTTGGTGGTGCAGAAAAGGTGAAAAAAGTGAGGTTACAAACTCGTAAGAGAACATATGAATTGCTTCAGATGGAAGATAGTGAGAGAATATCTGATTTCTTCACTAGGGTTACAAAACTAGTGAATCAAATCAAGATATATAGAGAAACATTAAAAACAAGAGTTGTTGTTTCGAAGATCTTGAGATCTTTGGCTCCTAAGTTCGACCACGTGGTGGTGGCTATAGAATAGGGGAAAGACTTTTCAAAGTTGACAAAGGAAGAGCTTCAAGGGACGCTTGAATCTCATGAGTAAATAATGACTGAAAGAGCTGCAGGCAAGTCGAAGAGTGATGTGACTTTGCAGGCACATTCAACAAAAGAAACCAAAGGCAAAGGAAAGTGTTTCGACAGAGATAGAGACGGCTACAACAAATCGACTGGTAGAGGAAACCAGAACGAAGGAAACATATCGAATCAGAGAAGACCATACCAAAGCAACCAAAGAGGTGGTGTTGCAAATAGAGGAAGAGGTGGTGGTCGAAAACCTGACAAGAGTCACATTCAATGTTACAATTGTCAGAAGTATGGTTACTATTCGAGTGATTGTCCAGAAAAGAAAAAGAATCAAGAAAGTGATGCAAAGTTTGCAAAACATGAAGAAAAAGATATGATGCTGATGGTCACAACAAGAGATAAAGATAGATTTAAGGACCAATGGTACTTGGATTCAGGATGCTCATCACATATGTCTGGAAGGAAAGACTGGTTTGTCAACATAAATCCCTCAATGAAAAATATGGTAAAATTCGCAAATGACAATACTCTAGCAGCTGAAGGTATTGGTGATGTTATGATTATGATGAAAGATGGTAAGAGGTCAGTAATTTCAAATGTGTTGTACATACCAGGCATGAAGAGCAATTTGCTCAGTATAGGACAGTTAGTCAAAAAGAATTATAAAGTGTCGATCCAAGATAAGATGATGAGAGTCATCGACGTAAATGAAAGATTAATTTTGAAGGCTCTTATGTCTCAGAGTAGAACCTTCAAGATCGAACTAAATATGATGGAGCACAAGTTCCTTTCGACTGCAGCTAGCATAGATGAATGGATATGGCATTATCGACTAGGCCATCTCAACTTCAGAGACATCATAGATTTGAAGAGAAGAAATGTGGTTTCAGGATTTCCAGAAATCGACATTCCAAACGAGGTATGTGAGGAATGTGTGCAGGCGAAGCCGCACAAGAATAGCTTCAGCAAGGATGCAGGAAGCAGGTCGAAGGTTATTCTTGAAGTCATATACTCTGATGTATGTGAACTAATCCAGGTGGATTCGATGGGATGTAACAAATACTTTGTTACATTCATAGATGATTTCAGTCGAAAGATGTGGACTTACCTGATCAAGAAGAAAAATGAAGTGGTCGAGGTATTTGCCAAAGTTTAAGTCTATGGTCGAAAGACAGAATGGTCGAAAACTCAAAGTTTTAAGAACTAATGTTGGTGGAGAGTATGTGTCGAAAGAATTAGACAGGTTATGTGAAAAGGAAGGGATTATGCAAGAGGTGGTGCCGCCCTATACTCCACAGCATAATGGAACTGCAGAAAGGAAGAATTGAACCATCATGAATATGGTGAGAATTATGTTGAAAGGCAAGAATTTACCTAAAGAGTTTTGGGGTGAAGCTGTGTCGACTGCAACATACATTTTGAACAGATGTCCTACGAAGAAGCTAAAAGGAATTACTCCAGAAGAATGTTGGTCTGATGTGAAGCCTAGCTTGAGTCATCTGAAGGTATTTGGATCTATTGCACATAAACATGTTCCAGACCAGTTGAGAAGAAAACTTTATGATAAGTCGAGTCAAATAATTTTAGTTGGATATCATTCGACAGGAGGTTATAAGTTGTTCGACCAAGTGAACAAGCAGATTGTGATCAGCAGGAACATGATCATAGATGAGCTTAAAGAATGGGATTGGACTGAAAATGTCAAGAAAGATTAAATGGGAATCCTACTTGAAGAACCAGTAACTCAAGTTGAAAGATAAGTTCGACAAGAGGAACCAGCAGTTATAGATCAACCAAGTATAAGAAGACCTCAATGAACAAGATGCATGCTTGCAAGATTTTAAGATTGTGTGATTACATCAGATGATGTGATAAATAATGAAGGTGAGTTGGTACATTATGCTTTCTATGCATATGTCAAACCTGTCAATGCAACTGAAGCATTGAAGGATTTGAAGTGGGTGAAAGCAATGAACGAAGAAGTGAAGTCTATCGAAAACAACAACACTTGGTCACTTGTCGAATTGCCTCAAGGCAAGAAGGCAATTGATGTTAAGTGGGTATACAAAGTGAAAATGAATTCCAAAGGGGAAGTAACTCGACACAAAGCAAGGCTTGTGGCGAAAGGATTTCTACAAAAAGAAGGAATAAACTTCGATGAAGTTTTTGCACCTGTTGCTAGGATCAAAACAATCAAGTTGGTTGTTGGTCTAGCAGAAATAAACAGATGGCACATGTGTCAGATGGACGTAAAGTGTGCATTCCTGAATGGACCCTTAGAAGAAGAAGTTTATGTTAAATAACCAGTTGGGTTTATGAAACATGATGAACAGAGAAAGGTGTACAGGCTGCATAAAGTCCTGTATGGATTGAAACAAACTCTAGGAGCTTGGAATAAGAAAATTGATAGTTTCCTAAGTGAGAAGGAATATGTAAAGTGCACAATTGAACATGGAGTATATGTAAGAAGAAGCAATAGTGAATTTCTTATACTATGTCTCTATGTCGATGATTTGTTGATAACAGGTAGCTGCAAAAGTGAGATCGAAGACTTCAAAGGTGATCTCAGCAAGGAATTCGAAATGTCTTATCTGGGTGAGACTTCATATTTCCATGGCAT